CATGATCGCTGAATCCTCACGCGCACGGAAGAATGAGACGTCGCGGCCAAATTCAGGGCTTGAGGTCAAAGAAAGAGCGACGTAGAGACAGACACGCACAGGCGATCTCGCAGGCGCGCCAACGAATTGAGCGCGGTACTAACACACACGCGCGTCGAAGGGGTAGAAGGCGTTTCAGTCTGACACCAGCAACCAATGATAACGGAGATGCACACAGAGACAGTCATGACTTTTATTAAGTATACAGAATACAGACAGATGGCCTTCAGTATATACTGTACATCACTTCATATATTTGCAACTAGGGCATCACCTAGTTTATGACCCTGGGTTTGCCCATGACCGCTAAGGTATTCTATGTGCTTCAATTATTAGGCCCGGTACTAGTTGGTGGAAAGAAAAGGAAAACATCAAACTGTGTGGTTTATTCTGCACAGAACACTGAGCGGCTATTACGGGCGCTATTGGCTAGTGGCGAGACTGGGCCTTGCGCTGACGGTGTTAGCACATACAGACATAGGAGGAAACCCTCTATTGTTAGTTGTTTTATGATTATGTCTCAGAGGGTTCGTAGGCCTTGTCCCCTAGTGGACTTCAGTTTATTTAAGGGCTATGTAGGTAGATTGCCTTTGAGTTCTATTATGGAGGAATAAAAGTTAAAAGAGAAAACCCTTGTCACAACGATTTTCAAGCCTGGTTTCTTAGGAGAAGAGAAGACGGTGGGAGCCTAGAGTGGTAGGAAGATTTTATGTTGTACAGAAGGATTGGAGAATAGGTTGAAGGAAATTAATTATCGGTGGAGCGTAGGTCTGCACCCGAGTGGGGCAGTGTCCGAAGTCCTACCCTGGCGGCAGTCAGCCCAACGGCCACAGAGAGCTGCCTCTGTCTTAGTCAGCCTTGAAGATGATCGGCTAGACGTACTTTCATGAATACGCATACAAGGAATATTGACAAAGATGTGTGGAACAAAAAGGGCCGTTTTACCATTTTATATTCCAACTCCTGGACTGGAAGAGCATTTTTACTCCAATTTGTGTATGGGTTGGCTTGACTTGGGTTCAAATCTCAGGATTCCTTGGTCTTTGGTGGAGGTTAGGTGGTCAATGACGGAAAGTAAGTCATGAATACGCTCTCTAGTCTTCTTTCTGTTTTTTTATACGCTTCCGGTAATTGTGACTTGTTGTTAGTTGATCGCCTGGGTGAACTCTAGGCTGGAGGTCCAAAATAAAAGAGAACAAACCTGTTTTTCCCTGCAACCAGACTAGTGAAGTGCCACTGCATTTCATGTATGCAGGCTTTGTAGGATAAGATTTCCAGTTTAGGAGCTATCTAACCGAAGCACCTACCAGACAAATGTCACTTATTACTTATACCAAAATCAGAAGATTAGGATTTAACTAATTTGCGTTTTCTCTGTTGGATGTACAGCACAAGCGCAAAAACCGTCAACATCTGAATGCGCCGTTTTGGAGACTGGGAAGGAGATTAATAAAAGCTCTTCACCCGTTTGTCAAGTTACTTCGGAGACCCCCTCCATAGTCATCAATGCGCGTGAGAATCTGTCCAGCCTTACCAGTGCGGATGAGCATTCACGTATCAGCTACAAAGATGAACAGCAATACATGAAAGATTTGGCAGACGATGGTTTCAACTCAGAAGATGAAGAAGAAGAAGATATCAAGGAGGGCTCTACCTCCATCCTAGATAGGGCTAGAGGTATAGAAGAAATGTCGGCAAAGCCACGTAACATTGACACTTCGAGCTGGACAGTAACCGATCCTACTCATCCGCGCGAGGTTCAGTACGAAGTCCTGAATGAGGATGATGAAGATGAGGAGGCGGAGATGCTCCGACGCCGCGTTGCAGAATTGAACGCGGCCCTGGCCTTGGAACCGCCAATTGAAAGAGTGCGACCACCTCAAGCCTCCAGGGTGGCCTTTAAGGAGTCACTGGTGGACTTTGAAGTCAGCTTATCGCCAGATGAGCAGCAGTCGGAGACTGGGGAATGTGCTTCACCGCCTTGCTCGCCTGTCCCCGTCTCCGTATCTACTGCCGAGCCGATGAAACTTGAGGAGCGGAGCATGGAGAAGAGCGCCATGAAGTTCGCGAAAGTGCAAAGTGTTTGCTCAAGTGAAGCGCCCTCTCTGGGTCCGCCGGAAATTGTCACACGGACCCAACCTGTGAGACCGGAGGGTTCCTCTCGAAAGAGGTCGTCAACGAGGAACGGAAGGGGTGAAACTGTCTCCGAGAAGGGCAACACCAAAGATGCAGTAACTTCTGCATCTATCAGCGTTTCCATTTTGAAGAAAGGTGGTAGGTAAACTATTGTCCCTTCACCCCCCTCTCCTCTCCCTCCTTATATGCATCCGTTCCAGATATCAATACCTTCATGAGATCGGTTTGTGAGTTGGATATTGGACCATCCCCGACGATACTCACTACAAAGTACAGATAGCCCGGTCATGATGCTTATACTCACGTTATTAGTAATGAGGTTTCCGGTAGGATAGAAAAGTCCTACAAAGCCTGGTAAAACGACCAGTGCCCTTGCTGTCCAAAGGACTTTGGCTAAGTGGCAAAATACAAATTGAACGCCGCTTGGTGTCAGTAAAAGCGAAAATGTGCGCTCGCAAACATGCAATAGATGGTGCAGCTTATTCGGTTTTAACCCACACTCCAAAACGTGTTTTTCTTTAGGAAAGGTAACTTGAATGGGGCTTTTACGTAAATTGTTATATTGCAGATGTTTCAGTTACGCTAGGACGCTCGTTCATCATCATCATCCTCATAATCATTCCCATCATCATCATCATCATCATGACAAAAAGGACGAGGATGAGGACTAAAAATTTTTTTGGCTGAAAGCTACGACTGGTGATCTTGAGAAAACCAAATGTTTACCTGATGGTAGAAGTAGATTCGAACATGGTAACCGAAACCGATAGTTAAATGGAGTGCAGTTTTGCGTTATTCATCGCATTTATTGTCCGCATTTTTCACTGGTTCAAACACCTTTTAACTTCTCGTCTCCATAGGTGCATCTACTTTGTCCTAATGGTCAGTTACGCCAATACAAACTTCCGTCCGCCTGGTATTAACGAGGTTTTCCGTCTTCTAGATGTGGGGCGCACGAAACGCATTACACAGAGTGGAGACGTTGCACGCCACACAGAAAGGCCTCTACCGGTACCCCCCAAGGTGAAACCAGTAAGTTCTTCGTTGTCGCTGCAAAAGACAAAGCCCGCGCGATTCAGTCCAAAAACACCCGTCGAGAAGCGCAAACAGCAGGAGGAGGAACTGGAGAAAGCCAGGCTCATGGCTGAAGAGAGACGAAGACTGAATGACAAAGTTATGCAGGTGAGGCTACAGCATCGTTTTGAATCCAGACAACTTTATCAATGAGAGACGCTGTTAGGCTTACTTCCGCGCCTCGAATAGACCTGTAGTCGGTTATGCAGGAGTCACGCGAACTCGTGGTTTTCATTGCCTTAACGGACTTTCCATAAGGACCGCATGAGGAGTAGCGAGCTTCCATGACGGGAGTTTCGCTTCTTCATTCGGAGGATATATGCCCGGAGGACTATTTTTAAAAAAAAAGTGTATTGTATTTTTATTACCGAGAGTCCAACCAAGTCAGTGTATGTACAACAAGATTAGCTTACTCCTTACTAGCGAAAGAATTCCCAATCTACAGCAAAAGTGATCAATTATATGACAGTTGCTCTGTAAATTGCCGTAATACGGTACTGACTAAAAAATTAGGTTGTTCTGAAGTCCTGAGGAGCGTTAATAGAAGCCAAGCGAAACATCTCGCCAGCATCGCCTACTCGGAGGTGGCCTGTGGCAAATTTGCAGACAAATGGCACGTCTGCTAGTGGTTGTTCCTTCTGGCAGGTCTATACCCTTTTTGTTCAAC